AGTCGGGATAATTTCCGGTGATGACCGTAGTTTGAGGAGTTCATGTATTCACTATGTGTTAATGCTTTGTTCCGGTTCTCTATTAAAAGGAGGCCTTAATATCCCTTAGTTTCCATATGGACCCCGCTGCCACGGGAGGGTAGGACAAAAGATGTCATGCAATTTCTTTCCATAAGCACGTATGACTATTTACGGAATACATGCCTACATTATATTTATGAACTAGACCTAGTGTCGTATCGCCCTAGGTTATGACTCTTATATGATGAATATCATCCAACGAAGTCACCTATCAAATGCCTACAATTTTCTCTTATATTGTTCTTGCTAAGTTACTACTATTGTTGCCACTGTTGCACTTGCTACAAAATTATTGCTATCACTGTTACCGTTACTATTACTATTGCTATAGCTATCCAAACTATCATACTACTGTGCTACTGATCATATTGCTGCAGATAATTAATCTCCATGTGTGGTTGAATTGACAACTCAGCTGCTAATACTTGCAAATATTCTTTGGCTCCCTTGTGTCGAGTCTATAAATTTGAGTTGAATACTCTACCCTCGAAAACTGTTGTGGTCCCCTATACTTGTGGATTATCACTTGTCGGCGCGCGCCAGAAACGTTAGAACGCAATGAAAGGAAGGCCTCAGACTCATCCCTTGCGCGCCGCGCCTCAGCCGCCCGCGTGATATGTTTCGATGGAGGCCAAGATCACACAATTGTCCTTCAGCTCATTCTCCTCCTCCATGCGGTTGAGTTGTTTGAAGTAGGAGAGTTGGGACCGCTCGACAGACTAGGGGGGGGGGGCGTTGGCCATTGTGCAGTCTCGGAAAGAAGATGGAAAATATTGTCTCGAGCAGCCAACACATTTGTGTTTGATACAAAACAAGGAAAAGACGAAGAAACAAAGTGGGTTTGGTTGATCAAAAACAAAGCGAGGATGGGAGGGGCTAAAGAAAGAAAGTCAGCTCCACCGGCCTTGTGCATTGGCTTCGTGGTGCTCTCGTGCGTATGAACGAAGCAACTGACTTGCGGGCCCCACACGCCTTCGTCTTCCTCCTCGTGACGAGACAATCCAAGACCGTTTCGGTTTCTTGTTGCCGTGGATGTTTTGTTCTTGATTTTTTATTTCAGACTCGCTGATTTTTTAAAAATTTCTATTTTTTTTCAAAATTAATGAACTTTTATTCAAATCTGCGAACATTTTTCTTCAAAAGTGATGATCTGTATTTCCAAATCAATGATTTTTTTGGAAAGTCGATAAACTTTTTTCAAATTTTTGAACTCTTTTTTCCAAAATTTTGAACTTTTTTCACGTTCATGTTTTTTCCTTTATTTTTTGTAAATTCTTTGTCAGGTTTTTTGTTTTCATTTTTTAAATAACTTACACTGGGTATATAATATATGTTATATGCAGTACTAAATGGGTCTAATAGTACTGATTCCAGAAAACACACAAGAAGGCGAAGTTAGTCTAGTGGTTAATTCGGCAGGACGTGAGGACCTCGTTAAAAAAAATACGCCATCTGGGAGCTTTACTAAGACTGACTATAAGAACACCTAAATCTGAAAGAAATCTTTAAAAACAATTATGGGAAAAAGGAGGAGTCATGGTAAGATCTTGGTTTATTCAAATTGCAATGACTCTCAAGCACACATTTCTCTTCTTTTAGCCACCGTTTTTCTCATTAATAACAAAACTAATTATTCTGAACTCTGAAATCAATACTAAAATTAAGCAATTGTTTTTCTTAATATCCTTTTCAAATCTCCAATCCATAACGGGTAGATCTATCGGATATATGCGAAAACATACCTAATGCGGTGAATCGGATTTCTACTACAAGCCAAGCAGCCAAGGAGCTATGTTCTATTTGTAAGAGTAAAATAAGGATTAGGCTGTGGAGAGCCGGCTAAGTGGTTGATAGCTCCGTTCTTGAAAATTGGTATAGTTCTAAGAACTATCGAGAGTTCAAATCCCTCTCTGTCCTTTTTCTTATTGTTGACATTACTATGCTGAGTTTGATTCCTCGTTCTCGCAACTTTGTTGTTAACTTTTTTCTTCGCGTTTTCTTTTCAGCATATTTACTGGGCCGGGCCAACAGCACTAACCGACGCTTAGAGCGCCGAACAGGAGCACCCCCTATTTGGGCAAACAGTCCGGGTATCGCCCTTGGGGTGAGGCAATGTGACCCGGCCGATTCCGTGATATTTTCTGCAGAGGTCACTGTTGTTTCGACTGCTCGTTTTTCATTTGTTTGCTTTCATCTGTTCTTTTTCATTCTTCAGTGGAAAATTGGTTTCCTTTCGAGTTTTCTTTTGTATGTTGTCCTTTATTTCGATTTTTTGTTTCTTTTTTTATTTTTCTTTATAATTTTCCCTTTTCTCTTTTCAAATTTGGTTTTCTTCTATTTTTGTGGGTTCTTTGGTTTTTTGTAGACTTTCCTTTTTTATAGCGTTTCCCATATACAGTCAATTGTTTTTATAATATATGGTGAACATTTTTCAAATACATATCGAACATTGTAAAGTACATGGTGAACATTTTTCAAATAAACACTTAATATATTTTTAGTATATGATGAATAATTGTTTCACATACATTGAACATTTTTTCTATATGATGAACTTTTTTATTTGTACAATGAAAGTTTTTTAATACACACTGGTCATTTTTTCCTTATACTTCAAACATTTTCTTAATATACACTGAACTACTTATAAAACACACAATGAACAATTCTAAAAAACTTATTTATTTCTAAATAGGTTTATCTTGTTCCTAAAACACAATAGTTGGTTTTTTTGGGGTGAAAACTTGACGAAACATTCGAACAGCTTTTTGTTTCAAAACGCTCGTGGGCTAAGTGCACTGGCACATTCATGTCTGGCTTCAGCAAAGGCTCCTGCATTCGCCGCGGCATTTTCTATTCGGCGCCTTCAGTGCCAGTTAACGTGTACTCCCTCCGTCCGGAAATACTTGTCATTGAAATGGATGTATCTAGATGTATTTTAGTTCTATATACATCCATTTTCATCTATTTTGATGACAAATATTTCCGGACGAAGGGAGTATTTTGTTAACTGTCGCTGGAGGCGCTCTTATCTGGGTCGGCCCATATACGATTTCAATTATGTAAATACTAAATACCCAAAAACGGTGGAGTCGTCTGGCTTCAAACCTGCAACTTCCGTGCTTAAAGGCAAGCACACTAACCACTTGGCTAGCCAAAGCATTGTGAAACCGTTGCTTTTTTCTCTTTTATTTCTTTGTTCAGTTTGTCAGGTTTTTTTTTGACCGATTTTATTCGATTTTTCTTTTTCCTTTTCTCTTGCTTTCCCCTTTTTCTTTTTATTAAATGCACGGATTCTTTTAAAATTCATGAACTTTTTCTTCAAAATTGATGAACAATTTCACCAAAATCAATTTTTATTCAAATTCCTGGACTTATTTTTCCAAATCAATGAACTTTTTTCAAATTTGTAAAATTTTAAAAAAATCAATGATTTTTTTTACAAATTCGATGGATTTTCAAATTAAATGAACTTCTTTCAAATCAACTATTTTATCAAATTTGATTAAATTTTCTCAAATCGACGAACTTTGTAAAAAAAATGGTGAAGTTTTTCAAATTTGTGAACATTTTGAAAACCGATGATGTTTTTTTTCAAAATGAATGAATTGTTTTAAAAAAATTGAAATCTTTTGAGTTTGTGAATGTTTTTTTTAATCCCTGTTTTTCTTTGTGAACTTTTTTCTGAAAATTCAATTGTCAGCGGGCCTTTGTTAACAGTCAATCGTATACCAGCTCGGAGCGATCGAACTAGATCGATTTTCCGCCGAGCGAAAGAAATACGCTGCTCTCGATATTTGGCTAGCCCACATAGGAGCGCGGTAAGCGCTAGGTTAGTTAGGCAAGTGGGATTCGAGAGGGAGAGACCCGCACACACACACACACACACA